AAACCTTAGAAAAATATATACAGTAATATATGAAAGTTTCCCTGCAACCCCCTCCCACCCTCAACTCATGCCCACTTTCCTTGTTAGGAATAACAACTCAACAATTGGTTTGCATCCTCCTAGACCTTTCCTATGCATACACACATGTGGTTTGAGTTTCTCTGCTTTACATATATGGATATGATGTCCACACTTCAATATGTCCATGTCACAGAGAAATATGACACAATGGGAAAGTGATCTAAATCCAAAGTTTTCAATTCTTTCATTATGGAGTTATAACTTCAAACCTTCAAAACACTCTCACACTTTTGAAACAGTCACATATTAAAGACACAAATCTGTAGTAATTTAATGGTGACTAGAAAGATAAGCCTGTGAAGTTAAAAGGTGGTAAGAAGATACAGGACACAGCCTTTCCTCTCCCAATAAAGGACACACTCTGGGAACCTTTGCAAAGATTTTCTTTAACCATTATTATTGTATATAACACAGTTCAATCATCTCTTCGCTTAGCATTTAAAATTGTTAGGCTGGGGGCCAGCCCGGTGGTGCAAGCAGTTAAGTGCATGTGCTCCGCTGTGGTGGCCCAGGGTTCGCCAGTTTGGATCCCGGGCGCACACCGATGCACCGCTTGTCAAGCCGTGCTGTGGGGGCGTCCCATATAAAGTGGAGGAAGATGGGCATGGATGTTAGCCCAGGGCCAGTCTTCCTCAGCAAGAGAGGAGGAGGACTGGCAGATGTCAGCTCAGGGCCGATCTTCCTCACAAAAAACAAAAATGTTAGGCTGAAAATACCTGGAACCCGGGACCTTGATAGAAGTTTAAATTCACAGCTCTTATGCAGAAGCGTGAGATATACTCCTAAACTCTTTGTTACCTATAAGCAAAGATCTCTAGTTCAGGATAATTACGGTCTCCTTTCTTGAGACCTGCTCCAAATCTGGATCTGCCTCAGCATTTAACAGAATATTAAAACATAAAAGCAAGGATTTATCCATCATGCGCCCTGGGCCGGCACTTTACCCAGGCTGTCACCACGAATCCTCACCGCAGCCCTCTGCGGTTCTGGAGACAAGGTGACGGCAGGACTGGCTGAACCCGCGTCTCACTCCAGAGCCTGTGCTTTTCTGCTCTGCAGGCTCCCAAACCCAAGACGACAGAAATGAGACCGTGTGGGAGGCTGTGAAGCGTTTCTGTGCCTGGCTGCTACTCAAAATTAGCTTCAAGGGGACAAGGAAGGGAGAGAACTGTCACAGCCCCATGAGGTTGGGCTATAGCAGACGAAAGGAGGGCAGCGGGTATGTCTGAGAAAACACACCGCCAAGGAAAGCAAGGAGAGGAAGGTAAGCAGCAGGAACATTCCAACCCTTAAAGCTGGGCCAAAAGGCAGACAGCCAGGGAGGGAGCGAGAAAGAGGAACGAGCAAACAGGCAGAGCTGGAACTGGTCGCAGCAGAGAAGAAAGAGCCAAGAATCAGACAGCACACTGAATGTCTGGGAGTTGGGGCAGGGGAGCCAGGAAAAACGGGGGAGGGAGGGGAGAAGAGAGTGATGCCAAGGAGCAGGTCCAGGAGGCTGCGTGGGTGAGGACCGCGTGGGCTCCTGCGCCACCATGTTCACAAGATGGAGCCCAGTTGGTGGCTCCCAGCAGCCACAGGACACACTGAAAGCCTCTTTCCCCTTCACAGGCCTCTCTCAAATGAGTCATCTCACCTGTGACTCAGCATGGACTATTGGGTGCCACAAACACTGCACCACATTTAGATGCAAAAAAAAAACAGAGAAGACCTAAAAGAAGCCAGGCTGAGACTAACCTTTCACCCAAAATGACATTACTCACTTTTAATTCACTGCTGTGTAACTGCAGACCAAACATGGGACGATTTAGGAAAGGCTATATTTTCTTTTGTAAATTACATGAAAAATGTATTAAAAGGTGCCCCAAAAATGTTGTAAATGACCTGATTGCCCCACCTGTAGTGGGGAAAGCTTTCAAAAGCTGTTGTGCAGTAAAACGTTGATGTATCAAATATACCATGACCTCATCCGTGGTCTGGACCTCCACCCTCTCTCACCTGGACCACTGTACTGATCCCTAACGGTCATCCTCCCCTCTTGTACTCCTGCTTCTCTCCCAGTATTCCATCTTCCACACACACAGCAACCACAGTGACTTTAAAATGTAAAATCAGACAGTGTCATTCTCCCACAAAGACCCACTACACCTAAAGTAAACTCTCTTCATCTTGGCTTTCACAGCTCTGTATAATCTGGCCCCTTCTATTTTTCCAACCTCTTCCCATGCCGCTCTCCCTGTCTTCTTGAGTTCCCAAACATGCTCAGCTTTTTCCTGCCTCAAGTATTGCTCCAGAAACTCAGGGACCGTGTCTGTCTTGTTTGTATCACCCCCACCAGGGTCTAGGCTGGTGCTTGGGGCACAGTACGAACTCAGAATTTTCTCAATGAATGAAAGGAAGCTGAAAGACTGTAATGCAACAAATGTCCATTAGAGGGCTCCCTTGACACCTGAGAACAAGACCAAATGTTCTGCTAAATGTTCCACAAGGAAATCCACAGGTATTAATAGAAGGGGGAACGATCATAGTAAATACTTTAAAAAGTAGCACTCTGCCAGCTGTCTACACTTGCTTCTAGCTGTGTAGACTGCTTCCTGCAGCTGTGTGCCTGGACCTACACACACAGACCCATAGCGAGGTGGCCTCTGTTCATCCGTCTTCACGTCTACAAGTGGAAAGAACGAGTACCATCATTCTTTCCTCCAAGGGCTGGGGCAAGGAGTAAAGGAGATAACGCATGGGGAGCACTAGCTCATTGTCTGGCTCGCGGAAGTGCTCAATAGATGGTAGTGGTGATTACTTCAACTAATGGAAGTTACTTTAGCTGAAATAAACGCCTTTTCTCATCATTTTCCTGCGCCCAAATTCCACCTCTCCTGCCAGGCCCTGCTCAAATACCGCCTCTCCTCCATACAGTGAGCAGACGTGCTCAATCTCTCTATCCCAAGTCCCCCTTTTGGATCCCCTTTACCCTCCTTCCACAGCCAAGCTTTAGTGCAAAGTTGTCCTTATTTCCATTTATTCAACTGATCATGATCAGTCCTTTGCACCTGCCACTCCACTGAAACTACTCTCTGTTGCTAAATCCAATGAAAACCTTTCAGTCTGAAATGTGCCTGCCCTCTTACTAGCTGACACTGCAGACCACTCCTGCCCCTGGAAACACTCTGTGCCCTGCTTTTTCCTACCAATCTGGCCACTCCCTTTCGGTCTCCCTTGCATACCTCTGGTCCTCCACTCACCCCCTACAGCCCAGGGATGCTGAAGTCCCACAGGTCTCTTATCCAGATGCTTTCATGAGCTCCAAACTCAACCTGGCTTTCCCACAAGCACCACAAACTTAACATGGCAAAATGAACTCATCATCTTACTCTAATTTACTGAATTACTGATCTTGATAAAACAGCAAAACCATCCACTGTTACCCAAGCCACAAACCCCAGCCCCAGCTTAGATGGGTGGCTCCAGTGAACTCTCATTCCCTGTATCCCTACTTGACTCCCTGTTTGATCCTAGGATCTCTGCCTCAGTTCTTCCTGCCTAGACTTCAACAGTCTCTAACTCGTCTCTCTGCCTCCACTCTTTTTTTTAAATAACTTTATCAGCAGCAGTTACTCTCCGTTCCCTTCCCTGACCCCTCACAACCACTAATCTACGTTCTGTCTTTATAGAGCTGCCTATTCTGGACATTTCATAGAAATGGAACCATACAATACGTGGCCTTTGTGACTATCTCAACACTTGCTCCCTCCTCCACTTCATTCTACCCTCCACAGTTACTGGATTAAGCTTATAAAATACAACTCATGTCATGTCACTCCCTTGCTTAAAATCCTTTAATGGCTCCTGGAAGATTTCTCAGGATAGAGTTCATCCTCTTTTGTGCTCATTAAGGCCCTTCCCACCCTGGCTCCTGCCTACCCTCCCAGCCAATCAAGCTACCATTCTCTCTTTATTCTGTTCAAACATTCAGTTTCCCAGACATCACATACTATGTCACACCTCCACCTCTTTGCCGACGTGGTTTCCTCTACTTGGAACACGCTTCTCCGTCTTCATTATCTATCCAACTACTACTCACCTCTTAATACTCCGCCAGCTCAGGAAGCATGCTCAGACCCTCACTAGTGATTGAGACGCTTGGCGCCTATGTTTCTATGGCACCCATTTAGATACCCATTATTCCATGTGCTGCAACACTTTTATCTGTCTCCCCATGAGACCATTAACTATTAACTGAGGGCACAGACCATGTTTCTTCTGCAGCATTTAGCACCATGTCTGGAATGGAGGAGTCATTTAAATACTTGTCAAATGAGTGTCAATACGATCTTGGCGTTGGCATTTGTTTAGTGCACACCCCATAACACCCAGGAGGCAATCTGCAATGAAGAAGTTCAAAAGATACACACACCCCTGAATTTCACAAGATATTCCAAAAGGCACATGACTGTGGGAACTATGCTAAAAAGAAAACATTCTTCCTAGAAAAAGCAATGGGCAAAAAACATTTGGGTTTGGTGGAGTTCTATGACAAAACAAAGAAGACTGTTGTTTGATTGCCAGTCTCTCATGTTGAAAACCCCAAACCCATAACTGATTTGCCCTTGAAAAACTGCTTGTAGAAGTTAGGTTCTAGAAAATATTTCTTTTTTTTTTTTTTTTTTTCTGAGGAAGATTTGCCCTGAGCTAACATCTGTTGCCAGTCTTCCTCTATTTTGTATGTGAGCCGCCACCACAGCATGGCCACTGACAAGTGGTGTAGGTGCACGCCTGGGGAACAGAAGCTGGGCTGCTGAAGCAGAGTGTGCTGAACTTAACCACTAGGCCATGAGGCTGGCCCAATATTTCTCATTTTTACAGAAGAATTTACAGAGCCATTAGGCAATACGGATAACTTTGCTGGGGGAAAAAAGGCTTAAGAAAGCACCTGTAGATAAACCTTCTTCACACCAGGCACGTAGTCTGCAATCCGGCCGAAGAGCAGCCGCCCGGCTCCTGAAGTGATGCCAATGCACATGAGAACCACCTCTTTATTTTTGTCACTTTCAAATCTTTCATTCACATGTTTCATCTGTAGACCAAAGAGAAAGAAGCCACACTAAATATGGTAGGAAAACTTGACAAGTTTTGAGACTTTGTACAAATGCCTTTGTGTCTCTACAATGTTATGGACTCTCACCTGTTCCAAATTCAAATCTTTATAAAAATTGCTGTGATAATTATTCATGATGTCTATGAAGGACAGCTAACATGATTTAGTTTGCATATAAGAAATGAGAATTTTTATGAGGTCTTTTTTTTTTACTTTTAATAAAGGGTTCCCAGAACACGTAAGCTAACTGAGCCATTAGCTAAAGGACGAGGACAGACCTTTGAATGCACCACACAACCCTGCTCTCTCAAGGTCACCCAAGGACCCAGCACATTGTCTGCTCCCCTGAAAGGCAGTTTAAGGATCAGTTCTGGAGTTTCACCTCTTCTAGGAGGGCCTGAACCAAACAGACACCCCTGAAATAAGCTGTCCTGGAGCTTCCAGGATAAAAACATGGGGTTCTCTCCCTATGAATTGGCCTATTTGTGTGACAGAACAGATAAAGATACAGAGTCAGTTTAACATAGCGGCTAAAAGAAAAGCCTCTAGAGACTCTGCTTGGGTTCAAGCCCTGGTTCCATCCCTTAGCAGCCTGATAATCTCGGGTAAGCCCTTAACCTCTAGGGCTTCAGTTTCTTTGTCTCTAAAATGGAGATGACACTAGGACTTCAAGAGAGGGGTTACGAGGATTAAGTAAAATATCTGTGTAAAGAACTTACAATAGTGCCGGGGCTGGCCCGGTGGCATAGCGGTTAAGTTCGCGCACTCCGCTTCGGTGGCCCGGGGTTCTGAGGTTCAGATCCCGGGCGTGGACCGACGCACTGTTTGTCAAGCCATGTTGTGGCGGCGTCCCATATAAAGTAGAGGCAGATGGGCACGGATGTTAGCCCAGGGCCAATATTCCTCAGCAAAAGGAGGATTGGCAATGGATGTTAGCTCAGGGCTAATCTTCCTCACAAAAAAAAAAAAAGAAGAAGAAGAAGAAGAACTTACAATACTGCCTGACACGTAGTTAATAATGATCAGATATTTAGCCTTTTTTTTTGATGAGGAAGATTGGCGCTGAGCTAATATCTGTTGCCAGTCTTCCTCCACTTTGTATATGGGACACTGCCACAGCATGGCTTGATGGGTGATGTGTAGGTCTGCACCCAGGATCCAGGCCGGGATCTGAACCCACAAACCCTGGGCCACTGAAGCGGAGCGTGTGAACTTAACCACTACGCCACTGGGCCGGCCCCAGATATTTAGCCTTTTAAAAAGAAAATGACCTTATCCCTCAATTTACAGTCTACTTAGAACAGTGACTGCAAACTGACAACCTGATGATGTTCTGAAAGGAGCATGACCAGGCAGGTATTACATCGGATGACAAAACCTGCAGCCCAGCAGCCGCTCGCTGTCTAACGTGAGCTTTGCTCCCACAGCCCCGAGGTCATGGCTTGCCACCTCTTTCTTAGCTCTTCCATTTCTCAGTGATCACCTCTCTGTGCTCACAGCAAGGAAAAAAAGCATGTCTGTACTCCCATAGCTTTCTCTGAAATAACTGAGATGTTATAACAAACACAAACAGTTGTTTCAAACAATCAGACTCACTGTTCCCTACACCAAACACTGGCCTGAATTCTGGAAGCCTACAAAGCAAATTTCCCAGCAAGCTCAATGACCCAGATGGTTCCCACGTGGCACTAGTAGCCTTTCTGGATGACATCTCCTTAAGGCACTTCCATTTCGCATATTTAAACCCACTTGAATACGCCAACACCATTGTATCTGTCTTTTCCCTTTCAAAACTGGTAACTGTTCTCCCTAACTTCTGTATTTTCACTCTTGTCCAGAATAATCCTCCTAAATATGGCTTTAATCTCATCAATCCCTTTTTCATCAGTTGCCCACTGCCTACATTTATACTTCTTGGTTTGGCATTAAAAGCCCTCCATAATCTGTCCCAGTCTATCTTTGTACCTTGATTACCTACTGATCCTTGACTCAAGCAGAAAACTCAAATGTCTACACGACTCAGGCAAATAGCATAAAGGAGTAGAACAGACTTGTTGGAGAGAGGGACATATTGTTCAGTTGATTACCACCATACAGGGCCACCAGTGTTGCCAAATCGACCTCCCATCCCCTTTTATTTTAAAGTGAAGTCAGAAATCTGGATTTTCGTGTGGAAATGTTGGCACCTCACTTATATTCAGAACACTGCGTGATCCAACCCCATGCAAGCCAAACACAACGTGCCTGCACACCGCATTGGGCCAGCTTTGATCTCAGCCTAATCCCATCTGGCCCAGCAGGACGGGTATATTCACAGGGTCGCTTAAACATATGTCCTCACCTCTCTACGTTTCTGCTGTCTCTTCTACCTTCTTCGACTTTCTAAATCCTACCCATTTTCTAAGACTAGGCTTAAATCTCAGCTTTTCTATAAAGCTGTCCTTGATCACCTCAGCCTTACATCCCCTTCTTGTTACTGCCTAAAGTTTTCATTAGCACCAAGTATTGAGTGTTCCTACCTAGACTTTCTAGCTTCTAACTCTCACACTCTCTTGAGTAAACTCTTCCACGCCAAACTAGACATATCTACCTGCCTGTTGCAAAGGCATCTCAAAGTCAGCATGCCCCATGCTGAACTTACCTCTCCTTACAACCTGCCCTCCCTCCATTTCAGTTCACACAACTACTTGGCTCAACTACCCAAGGTAGAAACCCAATAACCATCCTAGATTACTCCTTTTCCCTCTCTTCAAACCCAGCAGTCACCACCAAGTTCTGATCACTTTACCTCCTAAGAGTCTCTCATAGTTCCTTTGGTCCATGTTCCCCGGGGTTTTAGTTCTTATCACTCCTCACCGGGACAACTGCAGCCCTTCTAACGTGCTTCTTGCTTGAGCCCCGACTCCTAAATCTCTAACCTACATTCTCTGAGACCACCAGATTAAGTTCAAAATTAAAAACAACACTGCTCTGTTTAAGATCCTTTTATGGCTCCCATAGCCTTCAGGATAAAGCGCAAACTCCTGGTTTGACAGCTACAGGCTTCCTGCTTTGCTACTGCAGCCTCATGCCAGCTGCCTCCTCATGCACACCGCATGAGCACTGTGCTGTCTAATACGGCAGCTGCTAGCCACATGCGGGCTAGAGAGCACTTGCACTGGCTAGTTTGAATGGAGATGTGCTATAAGTATAAAATACATAGCAAATTTAGAAGACATAGTGGGGAAAAAAGCATGCAAAATATCTCATTAATAATTTTAAAATATTGATTCCATGATGAAATAACATTTTGGCTACATTGATTAAATAAAATATGAAACTAATTTGTTTGGGTTTTTTTTTTTTTTTACTATAGCTGCAGAGATAAGATAGCTGTTGATAAGAGTGACCTCAAACTGGCTTATTCCTCCAGGTCTTTATCATTCCCCATCCGGTGAGATTAGACAAAGTAGAAAGAAATGGATTCCAGCTCAGTTCTGAAGAAAAGGAATAACCTGATTTAAGTCAGGTGGGATATAGTTATGTGTATTCATCGGCTTTACTTGGAATCTGAATCCAGACTCTGATAATCCCACTTCAGGAAGCACCCAAAGGATCTATTATAACTTTTTAAAAGACATTCTTTAGTATTCAAAAAAGACTGAATTTACCATTCTTTTGATGAAACTAAGAACATCTGCCTGCCAAATTGCTATTATCCTTTATTAGTCGTTTATTTTTTTCCCCTGCTCTACTTTATAATCCTTAAAAGGAATAATAAGGTGAAACGTTTTGGGTCTCTTGACAGAGGGTAAATTTGGTAAATTCACATTATGCTTAACTGGAAACTAGTTCTTCAACTATGAGGGGCATTATTTCACTGAATTTTGTTATTATTATCATTGTTTAAATAAAGCAAGAACTTCAGCTTCTAATATCCCATTCCCCACCCTCAGCCAAAATCGGCAAACTATAACAGTTTCTTTGGTCAGTAAGTAAGGGAATCTAGGGGCTGGAGAACAGAATCCAGGCATGCTGGACCTCTGCGTCCTAGAGGGCCCTCCTCATTGAGTACCTAGGAGAGCGGTGTGTTCTATTTGCAGCCTGGCCTCCCATGAGTGCTGCCCACTATGTTACAAATGCCTGCCCATCTCTCATCCTCCGGACACTGGCATGCACTTTAGCTTAGCAGAATGCATAAATATGGAGCATAATTGATATTTCTAATAAAGAGCTGCATGGATAAGGACATGAAAATGTTGAACAGATGTTTCCATATTTAGCCTAACTTACTTAAACCAATGCAAAGCTTATGCTAGAGTTTACTATCTACTATGAGATAACATCATTTTGTAGAGCCGTTTGTTTCAAGTAGACTTTATCTCAATGTATATGTGCCTTTAGGGCAGGAATTAGTCTTTTATTTATGTTCTCAAACATAAATAAATTTACTCCAGGGCTGTACACCTCTCAGGGATTACCAGAGCCTGGCTGACAACAGTTTTAATGCTGCCTGCTCCAGAAACATTTTCCATCACTTAAGCAACGATGACTTTCGCTAACCACAGAAGTCATTTTTGGATTGTGTGAAACCCTATTTATTGTTTTGTTATCAAAAGATAACCAAGAATTCATTTCCCAAAATATCTGCTCATTCGATATCCATAGGTGAAAGAAGGAAAAAAGGACAAACTACTTTACAGTTTTCCCTCCTTCCTAAACACCCCACTTCAAGTAAATGGTGGTACAGCCTCTCTCTATGGATGACATGTTTCCGACCAGCCAACTGAAGAGAGAGGTTCCTCTTCCCTTACTAGAGCCCAGAGGCAGTTCCCTTTTTGAGAATTTGCGGGCAGCAGCCTAAGAAAGCAATCATCTCACTGGACTGCCCTCAGCCCTGCCTTCTCCCCTCTCCACCTCTTCCCTAGGAGCGAGCCACAGTGCCAGGCATCTGGAGACATCAGATAGTGTTCTTCACTGAGAATCTAGACTGAGTCCTC